GTTAGTTTCTTAAATGGATAATTGCTTTATTCTATTCATTTTTTTTTTTTTCCCTGATAGGTCCTTAATTTTTTTTTTTTTTTTTTTTTTTTTTTTAGGTCCTTAAAAGTCCTTAATTTTCATGTAGGAAATGTATACGAACTCTGTACATTCAACATGCTTTGTAACACATTTAGGAAAATATTAAACACATTTTAAACAGATGTTTTCGTGTCTTATTTCATTTAACAATATTGTATACAGCGTCATTTCTCCCCTGGTGGTGAGTTTTTTAACTCTTTTTTTTTTTTTTTTTTTTTTTTCCCCCCGGAAAATAAATTCCCGTAACCCCCTTTACACGATTCCCAAGTTTGATAATATTTGGTCCGGTAGTTTTCCTTTTATGACCATTTCAAATTGAAACTTTAATTATAATCTCCATGTAAATTAAACTTTAAAAGTTTGACAGTTTGGTTCAAATCCCAGCTTTAAAATATATATATAAATAATCTTTTATATTAATACTCTTAGAAAGAATGTTTTAAGAAGCTAATTTTTCTCTTGCGTTATAGATTGTATAAAAAAACATGATCTTTAATATGATTTAGATTGTTTTCACAGCGATATAAGAATTGGGTCACTCGGTGGTACAGAATAAACCCTGCTAGACTGTTTTATTTCTTTGTCATTTAGCAAAAATCTTTTTAATTAAAATATTTATCCTTTGGACTTTGCTTTAAACTTTATTTATAGTTAAAATGACTAGAAAATGAAAAGCTGTCTTCAGCTGAAATGCAATTCATGTAATTGATATTTTAAAAATTGACAAGACTGCAAAATTTATTGAAGTCGAGCAATCGAAAAGTCTTAATTTTCTTGTGTGAGCCCTGAAAATAACTGTAGAAGGAAAGAAGAAAATTAGGGAGAAAAGTAAGTAAACATTTGCAGGGAAATTTGGCTGTCAGACATACCAAGATGTTTCAAAAAGTTGGACGCTTTTGAATATACTTTCAGGATACTTCAAAGAATTTAGGCGTTCAAAGAGAAAACACTTGGACGTGTACACCAGCAAATACCATCAATTGAGTTGTGTTAACAGAAAAGACAAAAACGATATCATTGCAGATTAAAGTAAAGAGCGACTGGTTTTAGACTATATGGTTGTATAAATTTAAAATTATGTTATAGAACATCATATCGTATCATATATGGAGAATACCATGATTTCCTCAGTCGAATTATTTGAAGATTCAGGAGTTTATGCAGTATTGTTTGTGGATGTCACCTAAAGGCGTTTTTTTCCCCTCCTGATGAAACAGCGGCCGACCGGTAAAGTCACTGAACACTGGTAGTTCAGTCCGAGGTTCGAATCCCGCGAATGGGCTGGCGGCATGGGCATTTTCGTGGTTTTCCCCATGTGTAACGTGTATGCGAGCCAGTTTTCCTTAGAAAGTCCTCCACGAAAGCATCCCTCTCCTTAGGCAGATAGCCCTAGTGTGCTTTGTCATAATTAAAATAAACCAAAACCTCTTGATGAAACCAGTCTTTCCTTTCATCTCATACTTTCAAAATATTTAGCCTCTAAAGACTGATAAATACTTCGTGAAGAACTTTCTAAAGGAAACCAGCTGTCATACACGGTACACATGAGAAAATCCACGAAAACGGCCATGCAACCAGCCCGTTTACCGGGATTCGAACCCCGGAGTGAACTACCAGTGTTCAGCGACTTTACCACTTGGCCATGTGTGGGCATTTATGAAATGGAAGGCGATAACTTTATTTAAAATGACTGTCATAAATATCAAGATTTTTCTAAAAGTTGGATCCTTTTTAATATACTTGCAGAATGCCTGAAGAAAAAAGGAAGAAAAAATACATTTTTGCGTAAAATTTAGTATTAGTATTTTTTTTAAATTTAAAACCTTTTAATCTTATTATATTTGATTCGTGCAATTTCAAAAATAAAATATTTGACTAAAATATGAATAACATTTTAAGAAACCAAATGTAGGATAAAATTGTGTAAAGCAATGGGAACAATGATAAAACTGTTTAAAACAGTCTATGCAAGTCATCCTAAGTTAAAATGTCTGTTATACATATCTCTTATTTATATATATCTTTTCTGAACGGAACATTGAAAGGCGTGTTAACTGTGCTTTACTGTATTTTCTCTTTTCATATATGCAGTTTTCAAATGCATCGTAGTCTGGGTTGCAAAGTATTCTTCCGAAAGAAACGCAATTCAAATAAATAAAATCAAATTCTGAAAATTTATATTAATAAATACATTTAAAATGCTCAGTTCGAAGGAATAAATAGAAAATTTTAAAACAATTATCTGAAGAGACAATGCTACACAAGCAATTAAAATAAAAGTATAAAACTTTAAAATTTATCTAAAATAATAACTATGACAAAAATATATATAAAGAAAACTATCTGAAAAAAAAAATAAATAAATGCTGCACCTTTATTTACGCAGTTCTAATAGGTAAATAGAAAATTTTAAAACAGTTATTCGAAGAAAAAAACCATGCAACTTAAACAATTAAAAAGAAATTCGAAAAAGAAAAAATTACTTAAAATAATAACGGTTATAATTAAAAATATAATATAAAGAATATTATTTGGAAAAAAGGAACGATGGTGACTTTTTTTCCTCTTATGGGAAAGGAAACTAGGTTGCCATATATTAAGAAGTTCACCAAGTGAACTATTCTTGGCGCAAACTGAAAAAAAAAGTGCCAACACAAATTTGTGAATTTCTCCGTAAATTTCGCTCCAAATTTTACAAAATTTCATATTTAGGCGTAATTTGAGTTATAGAATCGAAATATGTAAAAAAATTGGTATGTTATTTCCGAAAAAGTCCGATTTTGTGTCAAAATACCTATGTTAGAATAGTGCTATATATAAATGTAATATATATCCTAAGTCGCGCTTTCGAGACATGAAGAACGCAATTTGAATTTTGTCGATTGGCCCAGTAGAATGGGAGATATCGAACTGTCCCATTTTTTTTTTTTTTAGCAGTGTACCTTTACTTTTAATGCAGAGTAACTGTGCACATTTTAATTGTTTAATTTACTATACATCATATTATTCTTTGGTTGAATAATCTGATTCATGTGTTATAAATAAATTTAATTTAATTTGGAGTTCTTTTGAAATGATGTGCAGGTCATAATTCAGAATTGAATTTATCTATTATTTTTCAAATAATTTATGTGTTCATTACATACAGGACTTTGTTAAACTAGATTCAGTGTGCAATTTATTTTTCAACTAATGTATTTTTGACATGGGATGTTTATTATGTGAAGCACCATTGTATATAGATTATCAGATATATATATATATATATAAAACACATATATATGTGCATATATATGTATATATCAAATTGTTTTAATTAATACAATCTAGATTAATTTTTTGGAAATACAATATGTAAAAAGTAAGTGAAAAAATTCTTATGAAGCAAAATGAAAAATAACTATCATAAAACAAAGCTTTACTAGTAATTAAAATAACTAATTAATAAATTTAATTATGGATTATTTTATGATATTAGGCTGATTCTTCAGGGAGTTTTAACCTTTTATCAAACCATTATTCAATTATGGTTTGATAAGATACTACAGGCCCTGAAGAGCCAGCCTAATATAAAATCATAAATAACTTATTATGTAAAATCATAAATAACTTATTAAAGTTAATTCATTGTTATTTTAATTACTTCCTCAGCTTCTTTTGCCATAGTTATTTTTCTTTTTACCTTACAAAGCATTTCTTTTTTTGTCACTTTTAAATTAATCGAGATTGTTTTTGTTAAAATAGTTTGATTAATTAATTTAAATTTTATCTTAGCTGTAGGATAAAATTGGAATAAAAAATAAATTGGAATTTAGGAAAATGAAATTTGAAATTCCAATTTATTTACTCTCAGTTTAGAAAAACTTGTATTAATTACCACCTTTAAAACTAATACTTGATGCTGTAACTGTGAGGATGTTAGAAGCCGATGAGTAACTTATGTAGAAATGTAATTAATCATTTTGCAGCTAAAAAGTGTGAAGATTTTTTTCTTTTCAACCTCTTTTCCCTTTTCTCCTGTTTCTTACTGCTGTCAGATGTTTCTTTTTTTTTTTTTTTTTTCAAATAAGATAATGCTCTAAAATTCTCTTTTTTTAAAAGAACCATTGTAAAGCCTGTTTTTTGGCCATTTACCGCAATTGGTGCAATTTGTTTCTTTCAAATACAAGCCTATTTCACCAGCAAGGGGCAACCCTTGATTCCTCCCACCACCAACTGTAAAACTACATTGTCCCATACTATCAAAATGACTACAGCAAAGCAGCAAGTCTCCTTATTTTTCATCTTTTTTGCACATTTTGACTGTAAAATTTTTGATGCACATTGTTTTTAAGTTTTTTTTAACATTTATTTGATTTGTATTTCACATATTTTGTTTTTTTTCGGTTAGAGTTTGAATTTTGGCTTCATTGCCATTTGAATTTTGTCTTTTTTTTTATGTAATTTTTTTTTTCTTTTTTCCTGTTTCATATTATAAAGTGTAGGAGCGTAGGGAGGATGTTGTGAGTGATCTAGAAAGTCTTAATTTAGAAGCGTTTTTTGAAGTACCCGTAGAACACAAAAATTAGATTTTATAAATGTAAGCAATTGAAATGTTTGAATTTGGCTTTTTCCCTCATGAAGTACAGGCTCAAATCATTTTAATAAATTACATTTTTTGCTTTTTATTAGCTACAATTTATACCCAAATTTGGCCTTTTAAATTAATTAATTTGAAAGTATAATAAAACTTATACAATATAAGCTTTATTATATTTTCAAATATCTTTGTACCTGTTGCCTTTCTTTGTGGAAAATATATTGGTTTTATTTTTATTTATATTTTTCATATATTTTATGATTACCATTTTTCCCATTGGTCTTTGGATGTAAATACTGTGCGTTGTTATGAAGAGTTCTAATATTATTCTAATTTCTAGTGCCGTTTATTTGACTTGCGAGCTGATAGAGAAGCAGCTGTTTATTCAAAACAAAGTATAATATTTGGTGTAAATTCAGTCGATTTTTCTGTGAGTGGTAAGTAAAGTATCCATTTTTAAAACTTGAACAATTTTATGAAATTAAGAGAAGATTAAAATAATTTTATTATTTACAGGTCGTTTATTATTTGCTGGTTATAATGACTACACGGTTAATGTGTGGGACAGCCTAAAATGTGTACGTCTTAGTATTCTGTATGGCCATGAAAATAGAGTTACATGTTTGAAAGTCTCACCTGATGGCACTGCTTTATCCACTGGTAGCTGGGACTTCACATTAAGGGTGACTATTTTATTTTTGTTTTATGTAATAAAATATAAATATTTCCCCATAACTGCAGAATTCTGACATTTTCATTTGTGTATATATTGTATTATATGTGCTTGTACAAAAACATATTTTTATTACCCCTTTATTTTAGTTTAAAAGTGTAACATTTAAATAAAAAGTATAACATTTAAATAAATAAAAGGTACCATCTAAAATATAACAAAGTAACATAACTGGAGAAGAAATAAAAACGTGCTTAAAATGAGAAATTACCAGAATTTAAAAATAGCAATTATCCATATTTATTTTTTCTGTTGCATTTTACTACTTTTTATTGCAATAAATGGAGTGATTTATATGTTAGTGGTGTTATGTAGTATAATACGTTTGAAACTAGTTTTTCAGATTGGGTCAATTTAGTCAATATGAGTTTAAATTGCATAGAATCCATAATACAAAGTTTTTGTAATATACTGAGAAATTCATTCTTCTAATGTAGCAATTTACTGCATTGGGTTTTAGAGTGCATAATATCCATGATACAAAATTTTTGTATAGTACTGAGAAATTATCGAGAAATTAATACAGCAGTTTCATATTATTTCAATATTAAATAATTATTGGCCAGTTTATTTTAACACTGTATTAGCCATGTAACTAACAGGCATGCAACAAATAAATTTGATTTTTACCATTTTTAAGATAAACCTGTATCATTAGCCCAAAGGGCTTTAGCCCAGAAGGTCTCTTATTTTGTTTTGGCATTTTGCGTTGGTTCACTTTTCAAATTGTTGCCAACAAATATTAGAGCCGTGCATTATATTTAAAGAAATTAAGTAATGAAGAATCTGCATGAATGTATGTATGTATGTTTACTGAAAGATCCCACTTTTAAAATAAAAAACAATTAAAGAAATTCAATAAAACTACTATGTGAGCGTACTCAATGTTATCGAAGAGTGTAAGGCTTCAAAACACTTTTCCCTTGACAAGTTCTGTTCGAAGAGTTAAAACAAAGGAGATTAATTTTCTTTCTTTCTTTTTTTTTTTTTTTTTTTTTTTTTTTTTGTGTGTGTGGTACATTTGTACCATTTTCGATAAAATTTTCAAGTTTTTTTAAGATAGTAGTTTTATTAATTTAAAAAAAAATATCTTTTCCCATTCAATAAATGTAATTCACTGATTTCACTAACTTCACAGAGATAGGATATTAGGTTTACCTTTATCTTTGGCAATAAATTTAATTTTCTTTCCAACTTTTTCATTTCACTTTAAAAATGATTGTATATACAGAGAGAGAGAAGAAAGAAAGAATTGATATTGGGATATTCTGCATACTTTTTTGTGTAATTAAATTTTATGCATGGTATGTAACTGTTTATGAACTAAAAAATATTACTGCCATTTTTACCGCTGATTAATGGAGTTTTAACATCTGTGAGATTTAAACAGTTTATGCTCCAAATGTGTGTGTGTATCTGTATTTGAATTAAAATCTGTGGAATTAATTTCTGGTTTTAAAATTTGAAAATTTGCATTTCAACTTTTTTCTAGGTGTGGGCTTAAGCATATTCAGCATTTGTCATCATAAATGAGAACCATGAGTTTTTCCTGAAATGAGCTGCAGATTTTAAGGACAGACTTCAGTTTTTGTTTTCTCCTTGTCTTTCTGTTGCAGCTAAATATGCCAGTTGCACCTTCATGAAAGCTGCGAGAGAATTTAGTCCTGGAGAAGCAGACCAGTCTGTGGTTGTTGAGTCAAAGTGAGAATTCAGGTGAAGTGCTGATTCTAGTCATTTTTAAAATTAAGAATGGTAATATGAATGTTAAGTCATAATTTGTAAGTGGCATTTTGTGGATGTACTAAAACTGTTTTGCCTGAATTATGTGATAAGCCTTCAAGTACCAAATAGTTTGGTGTGGAAAAAAAATTATTTAGCATTTTTTACATACTCAACTTGAAGATGCTTGGAAAATCTGCATAGCTATCATTTGAATGTTTGAAGAAATATATAAAGGACTTATGGGCTAAATTGCGTATATTTATTTGTCACAAGAAGCATCATTGGTGAAGTGTAGATTTTTATTAAGAGTGGCTACTTTTTTTTTTTTTTTTTATTTTATTTTTTTTAGGATGAATTGGGTGTACTCTCAAAATATGGAATTTTGTGATTATAAAAACAAGTGTAACTAGAGGATAAAAATAAATCGATTAATTTCATTTGTGTTTAGAACTAAATTTTACTATCACTTTTAAGTGATAGAACTTTCTTCCGGAGTTAATTTTTTTTTTTTTTTTTGTTCCTCTCTCCGAGGTGACCAGTCTTGTTTATATCAGATTAACCTATTATTATGATCACAAACTGAATGCATTACAATTTTAAAAAGTTTATTCTGTGCTAATGTGCATATCTCATGACATTTAATTTTAAATGTTTTTATCCTACATACAATAAAGTGTATATGATGATAACAAAAGTAAATGCAATTTATATTGCATTTACTTTCATTATCATCATAAAAAGTGTTATATTAATGTAGTATTATTGTTTATTTATATTGATATTATGAAATAGTCATTAATTTTATGTAAAGTCTTCATTCTTCAAATGTTTAGTAATAATTTGTTTTAAATATTATTGGATTAAAAGAAAAACCGGTGCTGTGTTTAGTTAAAATTAAGTTTTTCATTGAAAGAGCAGAATCTTATATGTTATTTAGATCAGGATTTGTAATTGTTAATTGATAATTATCAGAAGTCTATTTGTAGTGCTTGTATAATTATTATTATTACAGTAATATTTTGAAATATTCAAGTTTCAGTTGAAATATTCTCTACATTGCACTTTATTTTTTTCCTCTAAAAAGCCCTCAGATATTAAAAAAATATAAATTCATTCATTTTTAGTTTCATATATCTGTTAAAATTGAACATTTCAGCACTTTCTATAAAATATTTAAAGTTAGTCAAGGTAAAAATTATTGTTATTATTTCAGTTTTGATTAAATTCAATATAATTCAAACTATTAAAATCTATTAGAACTGAATATTTTGAAACATTCAGTTTCATTTTAAATGTTCTTTTCATTGAAAATTTTTTCCTCTAAAAACTCTCAAATAGCAAAAAAATATGAATTCATTCATTTTATTTTTAGTTTCATATATCTGCCTAAACTGAACCTTTTGATATTTTGTATAAAATGTTTAAAACATTATTTTTTTTTCTGTATAACTAAATTTAATGTATTTCATAGTATTAAAATAATTGAAACTAGTAATTTTTCTCTCTTTTGTTTATAATTAATGTCTTTCATTATTTTAGTTCTTTAATATTTTTTATATAAAACAGTTTATTTAAATAAGTGATGATAGTCATTATTAATATAAACAACTAATAACTCCCTTTTTAGTGTATAATTAGTTATATGTAATTATAATTTAATATTGAAAAATATTAATTATAAATTTTATTGTGATATTCAGAAAATTATCAAAAAATAGAAAAGGCAAAATTATTATATTTTTCTCCATTTCATTAGTTAGTTTTGGTTGTTTTATTTGTTCTGTGCTAGAAATTATAGGGTGTAAAGTTTATCTCCACCCATCCATAGAAAGATATTTTATATTTTCTTAATACTAGATGTTGTTTAGTATGCTAAATAATTTTCATTTTAGCAGATGAAGAATTGTATTATTATTCAAATATGGCATTTAACAGTTAATTAAATTAGACAATCTGGATTATGTTATAAGTATATAAAACTGTGATAACAGAGACAGAAATTAGGAAGTTTGAAGCGCATATTTCAAATTTATGAAAATGTGAAATACTGTTGCCTAAGCAGTTTGAAGTTGGAACTACTGATGTAGTTTTCTTACTAGAATTAGAGATGTGTATTTTCTGTGTGTTTGAAAAGTATAAGGTTTACCTTCGTGTAAGAGGAAAACATTGCATTGAAAAAATATTAAATTGTTATAATCTAGATTCTCTAAATAATTATTTGAAATCTCTCTCTTTTCTCTCCCCCCCCCCCACAGTTGATGTAATGCATAGTACAAAACATTTTGTACTTTTTTGTTACAAACAGCACTGACAATATGTATCAAAAATATGTCATTTGAATTTTTAGAATTTCTGTATTATGACTCAGTGATAGAGCTCAAATTTTTAAGTTAGAGCTTTGAAATCCATTATTAAATTTTGTAATGTATTAAAAGGATTTCACTAATTTATATTATTTCATTCTTACCAAAAAGAAAAAAAAAATAAAGCAACTGTTTTTTATATTAATGAATAAAAATGTGCTGTTTAAAAAACTAGACATTCTTTGATACTGAATTCATTATCAAGAATTCTAAAATCATCTACAATTTTTGTAATAAATTATTGATACCACGAAATTGATTGTATTGTTAAGAAAAAAATTTATGTTAAAAATATCTTTTATTTTCTTATGGTTAATATACATATTTATAATTTTAGATCTTATAATTTTATATATTATTTTGTTGTTATTTTATAATTATTTTATTTAAATTATTTTTAGTTAATATTTCAACTTGTTAAAAATATTTTATTTTATATATAGTTTTATTATCAAATTTGAATTTTTTTATATACAATGTTACGTATAATGGAATTTCGCTATAACCAATGACTGGAATGTATGTTGTTGAATATATTTATTTGTGTGTTAATTATTTCAAGAGTACAAGATTTCCTGTTATTTTTACATTTGAATTGTTTCATGTTTCTCATATTTATGTTATAATCTATAATGAGTGATACAAGTAGTGGAAAAATAACTGGACTTTTTTGTTCCACATAAAGGGGAAAAAATACTCTTTGTCATATCAAAACATATTAATATGTATATGTTTACATTAAAGTATTGCATGAAATTGTGTTTTTAAATAAAAATTGTTCTAAGTTTTAGCTTTATATGTTTTAGAGCATTTTGGTTATAAATTAAATATTAACTGGCATATTTTCCTCTCTGGCTTTTTAAATGTATGTTAATATCTGGAACAAACAACACTAAACAAATGTTTTTGTTTTTTTAATGTATGTTTTTCAGTTCCCAAAAATTTCTCAAATTGCTGTTCTTAGTACAGGCATTTGTAATTATTCTTGCAACCCTAAGGTCATTTATTTTCCTCTTTCGTGAAAGTAAGAAGGGGAAATAAAGTAGACATGATGTATAAAGACAGTACCTCTTTTAAATTCTGTGTTTAGTCATTTGAGATGGGAATATAATGTGCCTTTATACTCCATAGGAATAGACATCTATTTTATGATTTCAAATAGGGAAAAATAAACTAATTATAGTAAGACTAAAGTTATCCTCTGCAACTGTCTGCTGTTTGATTCATTTAAGAGTTATTCTGAGAAACCCTAGAAATCTGGTTTTTATGCGTAATCCAAGAGATATGTAGCAACATATAATACAGGAATCAAATAGCATAGCAAATCATAACTGATGGTAATATTGGCACAACTAAATTTAAGTAAACTTTTAAACTGCATAAGTTTTTACCTTACCTTTTCCTTAAAAATATATGCACAATGTAATTTAACCCTCTTGATTTTCAGTTAATAAAATTTGTTAATGGAGAAAAAACAGGAGTAAGTGCATTATGTTTACAATAATTTTGCAATAATAAAATATATTAGAGAGTTATAATAAAATGATCTCATGTATTTGGCACACACGGTTCATTCAATAAACTATTGGAAAATTTTATCCGTGAGAACTGTGAGTAGGGAACAAAAAATAATATTTGCTGCTGTTAAAGGCAAATATAGTTTCAGTGTGATTTTTCTTTTTAGATGTACCTTCTTGGCTGTTATGCATCTGTTTTTTTAATGCTATTCTTAAATATATAAAATCTGTCTAGAAAAGCTTTCTATTTGCAAGTGCGGCTGAATGTTATAGTGTAAATGAATAAGAATTCTATTTATACGTTTCATCATTTGTTTATATTAAAGTTGTATCAGTAACACACTTTTCATTGTAATTTTAGATGTCATTCTCATTAGGTTTGGGTTTTTCTTGCCATTGTGGGAAAAGAATTATTCATACAACATATAAATCCCACCATGTCTACATTTACCTAAATTTTAAAATAAATGTGATATTGAAAGTATTGTATTAAAAAATATGGAATTGGAGTTATAGATATATTTTATTCATTAATTTGATCAAATAATAAAGGGAGGTATATGATGTTAAATATCTTAAATAATTTATTACAAATGACCATTGATTAGAAATTTGAATTATTTTTTTTTGCAAAAAACTTTTTATGGTGATGAGAATCAGACTCGAGGTTGGTTTAATGTTAGATTTTCTGTAAATAGCTAGTTAAAAAATTAATATTACTGTATATCTGTTTCTGAAACAGTCATGTGTTTTATAGATATTATCTTATTGAGCTGTAGTTTTATGAATGTGGACCATGCTGTTTAGACAGTAAGTTGTACAGACAATTATTGAAAGTTGAACAAAATAAAATATTTCTTAGCGATTGTTTTACATTTATTTTTTCATTTATTGTTTTTCTTCATATGCAGGAATTTGTTATCTTAGTGATAACAGGTACACAATCTTTTAAATGTTCTTACAAAAGAGTCAGGCACATGGAAAGTAATCTGCATTAAATTATGTTTGGGCGCTAGGATTTTTTTAATCATTTTTTAATCTCTCTCTCTCTCTCTCTCTCTCTCTTTTTTTTTTTTTTTTTTTTTTTTTTTTTTTTTTTTCAGTTTACTATGTGCAATAATTTAATAGGTTACATCTTTTCTCCATGCAGGACCAACGATTTTACAAAAGCCCCATAAATATATGACAGTTTTGTCAGGATTAGCACCTGCATGTAGACATTTAGCAAATCCAGAAAATCCATGGCAGTTAATTTTTCAGGCAGAGTCCTCCTATCTTTACTTTATCTAACACAAGTTTCTGTCTATTCTAACAGCGATTCTTAACAGTCTTTTTGATTGCTTCTTTGCTTAATTTTAAGTATAGTTCCTAACAGGATACTCTTTCCCCGTACAACAACATCGAAGCTTACATGTAGACTTTATGAGGCTCTTAGCCATCTATTCGGCTGCGTTCCTGTGGAACAGAGAGTAGATGGTTTCTGCCAGGAAGATATCACACTGTGAGGCTAAGGCCAGGTCAGTGGTCTTTCTTGGTGGCGCTCACTCACTCACTCACTATACTGAAAATCATCACCTTTAAAAAAAAAAAGAAAAGAAAATCTGAAAGGCTTCAGATTTTAAATTACATCCAAAGGGGTGTTTTTTTAATATTAAATATCATGTTCTTTGCATTTAAACCATAAAATTTAGTTCAAGAGCAATATTGCAAAATAATTAAAATTGAGCATATCTTTATAATTTCCGATGCGCAGTATCATGTGCTGGAAATAAAAATGTTCTGTACAATGTTGCCATTGCTCACTTTGAAATTCTTGGAGTTTGTTAATCAAAAATTCATTAAAGATTTACAAAATATGAAATCGTTAATATAACAGATTTCAAATTTAGGCTTCTAGATGCCCATATTCACAGTAGGATTATGTCATTCAAAATTAGATGGATCTAGGTACCACGAGAAACATGCATACATTTATGCAGATTCTTCATTACTTAACCACTTGTACTAAAAAGACGTGCAACAAACGTCGAGATGCTTTTGTCTCAAACTGCTTGCAAAAATGAAAATAACGTGGTGCACATGTCGCCTAACAACGGGATTGTTTATTTGAGTTACAGCTCTGGATTGCACTTGCAGACGCGGAGCAGCATAAATGAGACACTTTACCGCTTGTTATATTGTAGCGCACAGCACCACAACCATGAAGTTTAGTCGTAGCACAAGTGGTTAATTTCTTCAAACATAATACAGGGCGATAATATTTGGTGGCAACAGTTTGAAAAGTGAAACAAACATTCAGATTGATTGGATGCAAAATCACAAAACAAAAACAGTAA